AAATTATATTTTTACTTACAATTGTTATAAACCATAATGATTTTAATGCCTATAAATACTATATGCTATCAAAAAATACATTCTACAACAATAAACATACACAATTTTACAATTCTCAACAAATATATCAAAATATTTCTAAAAAAGATTTTTGTGAATTTTTTTCTGTGACTTTATTTCTGTGACTTTTTTTCCGATAAAATTTTTCCATTGTGACTTTTTTCCGTGACTTTTTTCCTAGCAAAAACTGTGACTTTTTTTCTGTGGTTTTTTTTCCTGTGACTTTTTTTTCCGTTCACCTCTATTTCAACACACCGTTTTACCAAACAAGTGATCAGCCTCTCTCTACTGACCAGTCTCAACATACAATATTTCAGCCACTCTCAAATTTCTAGTATTACCATGCAAGAGATCATCCTCTCTCAATACACCAGTCTTACCATAGAAAAGATCTGCCTCTCTCAACACACTAGTCTTACGATCAGAGTTTCTTCCAGGCATCTCTTCGGGGGGGCGAAGCCCCCCCGAAAATTTTTTACCGCCCCCCCGAACGAAATAAAATTTATATAATTTATATAGAAAATATATACTTTTAACAGTGTCCGCCCCCCCCCGAAGAAAGTCTACCGCCCCCCCGAAAATTTCAAGTACCCCCCCGGAGAAAAAAGTCTGGAAGAAACACTGCTTACGATACAACAAATCAGCCTCTCTCAACTGACCAGTCTTACCATACAAGAGACCAGAGGCGTAGCGACCCTTCCCGGCGCCCGGGGACAAACTTTTCGATTTGCACCCCCCTCAAGATTTCGATTTGCACCCCCCTCAAACATTCGATTTGCACCCCCTCCCCTCAAGATTTCGATTTGCACCCCCCCTCCCTCAAACTTTCGATTTGCGACCCCTCGACCTTTCAATTTATTTTTCCAACCCATTTTGGCGCCCCCTAAGGTCGGCGCCCCCAAGGTCGGCGCCCGGGGACATATGTCTCTCAACACACCAGTATTTGATGCCCATTTTTAAAGATAAGTAAACCATATGTAAATACTTATTAGTTAAAACCATACCTAAACATCTCTACTAATAATTAACTCATAATGTATAATAAACTCAAATATTAAAAATGTGAGCAAAAATAATAATCTAGATATTATTAGGTGATAATGATAATTTAATAACATAAACATAACGAACTTACGATCCTTGGACAAAACGAACGCTTGTGGCTGAAACCGAAATTTTTCGGTTCAAAACGGCTGAGCCTGCGCGTGCACAGATAGGCGGTTTGGCAGCGAGAGTTTTAGACCGAGCAAACCGGCTATCTTTTAAAACCTGCTATAATTTTGTAAAACTCATTTTAAAACGCTACAGTACATTCGGTTGAGAGTTTCTTCGCACATATAGATCTACATAAAATGATTTTTAATTAGAGCGATCGAGAATGAAACAATCAGTTTTTTGTCTCTCCTATAAAATTTACTTTTTCGAACGAGACCATTGATATGCGAATATTTGAATCGATCTTACCTTCACGTACTTACATCCTTACGGTGACAAAAGCGTGTATTCAGTGTACTTTTTAGCTCTGAAGTGTACCTGACTCTCGTTAGGGAAAGTAAAGACGGTTGGTCTTAGTTCTGAAAACACCATCTCTTCATATGCCTAGGCCACTGAAACAGGTTAACTCTATTCCACTGGTCCCATGGACTGTCAGGTTTCAAAGGACCGGCACTGTACCTATCGTTATTTGTCATGCTTCGGGTATTTTAGGACGTATCTAGCTGCCATTTCGACTTATTTTGGCCACAAAATGTTTAATGAATTTAGTAATTCATTTTTAATGTAATGACTTATTATGGCTTTGCAAAACACCAGACCTAAGTTTATATACATCTACAACCAGGCTATAGAACTTTATTATATCAAAGGTTTTCATATTTTTAGATAATTGCATTGTGTAGAACAGCTATCCTATCATCCTATCCTCTACATCTGTTGGACGGTTGTTGAGGCACCATGTTTGCCTATGCCCCAATGCCTTGTCATCCATCTGGTGCTTTCAGACAGTCTGCAAAAGACGATCCGGTCGCGTCCTCAATGTCATCCAGCCAGTTTCTCCTTTTTTTACCCTCGCTATCTGTTCACCAGTGTTTCTTCCATGCATCTTTTCGGGGGGGGGGGGGGCTCCGTCCCGTCACTCCCGAAGAAAGTCTACCCCCCCCCCACCCCCAACTAAATGGAATTCATATAAAAAACATATTTTATCTGTGTCCGCCCCCTCCCCGGAAAATATCCGCCCCCCCCCCCCCGAAAATATCAAAAGCCCCCCCCCCCCCCCCCGAGAAAAAAGTTTGGAAGAAACACTGCTGCCCCTCCCCTTTTTTTTCATATGCGTACAATAAAACATCAGATATCTCATTTCTAGGACCTAGACCTTCGCTTGGAGCATGTTTTGGGTGTTCATGCCTCTCATCCTTGTATGCACATTACTATTCAAACAGCTTCCAATCTAGCACCAGCAATCTCCTTAAACGGTCTCGTAAAAGGGGAATATTATTGAGGCATAACAACATTACATCGCTAAGTCCCATTTATTATTTATGCTATCGGTAGCTTGAGCTACCTTATATGAAGAGAGTTAAACAGTATCTCAATCTGTTGTTGACCGAACCCAATGACTGAATCTTTTCAGCTAAATCGTGACCATTGATATTATTTTGGTTTGTTATAATTTTAATATGATGTGCAGGTGAACTTAGAGCACGACTAAATTAGTATATATACTGGATTCGAATACTTCAGTTAGTTTAATTATGAAAACTTAGAAGAATTTTTTTTACATTTGTCAAACAAAATTTTTTTTTAATATTTTAATACAATAATATATAGTCCGCATTGCGCGGTTCGCTCCGCGTTACGCGTAAGGCCGCCTTTGCGCAGTTCGCTCCGCGTTACGCTTAATCTTTACCCTAGGTGGCACGCGATCTCAAAAAAAACACATATCAGGACTGTCCGATTTTTTTTTCGTGCTATTTTTTATTATTTTGTTTACCACTGGAACGAAATGTGGTCCATAGTGAATTTATATAACTAAACCCATGGAGCAGCAACTGGACCCATATAGTTAACTTCTATAAATCTGTAGTGTGTGATGAATTGCAGTAGTAGTTTTTTTTTTAATTATTATTATTTCAAAAAGGTGTATTGATATATTTCTATTCAACAATTAAAATTTACTATAAATGTTATGCTATAATCAAGAAAGACAGCACACTTAGAAAGAAAATACGACAGCCGTAGCGCATAATAACGCATGTTAACACATTATATGAAAGCGTTAACACATGTTAACACATTATATTACGTTGTTACGTAAAAATTTCGCCAGTCATAGCCTGGTTACGTAACTTGCGGTCATATTACATTCAAATCCCCGATGGTTGAGTTAACGTTCACCCCAGAAATATATACCTAGTTGCGTAATAGTGAAAACTCGGTGCATGTTCAAAGTCGGGGTTTAATTTAGTGACACCTCAGGTCAAATGTCAGACTGACCCAATAGTCCTGTCACGTGGCGACAAGGTCATTTGAAGCTAAAGTATTAGTGAAAGAACTGTTCTTGCGGTTACATGATGATGTGATACAACACATATGGTGATGTGGTACAATAAATGTAATCAGTTGGTCGTGTCACTGATAGGACCATACAAGTCGGATACAGGGCTGTATGTGATGTGGTACACGGCTGTATGTAATACAGGGCTGTATATGATGTGGTATAGAGCTGTATATGATTTGGTATGGGGCTGTAAGTGGTACATGGCTGTATGTGATGTGATAGAGGGTTGTATGTGGTGTGGTACAGGGCTGTATGTGATGTGATACAGGGCTGTAAGTGATGTGGTACATGGCTGTATGTGATGTGATACAAGGTTGTATGTGGTGTGGTATAGGGCTGTATGTCTCGAGTTCGAACACTCGGGCAGATGAGGCTCTGAAGCTGGGGACAGCCACTCTTCTATAAGAAACAACTCCAAAAATCAAACAACTGCTGTCTTGTAGTTTGTTCTTGTTTGGCCAAAGGCTGTGGAAGCAAATCCAAAAAGAAAAGCAGGCAGAAATCGGAGTCAACGGCCTTAATGGCGCATAACCAGTTGACAGATATCCGTTCAACACTAAAATTAAGAACGAAGAATAAAATATTAAAACTGGGAAATTTAACTATTTGATTTGTTTTCTTTTTAAAAAAAAACTCAATGAATGGTTGATGTAGAAAATATAGATCTATATGCCTCCAAAATATACAAAAATAATCCTTTTTACTACGAAATTATTTAAAATGTTTTAATTCATATAAATAATTGTAATTTAAAACAAATAGCTTGTACGAATTTAAAACCCGTCCTCCATTCACCAAAAGTATGGCTTAATATTTCCCGGGCAAAATCTTTCCCTTTGACAAGATCGGTAACTCAGACAAAATCCTCTCAAGAAGAGAAAAATGTATAGGTTCTCTCCCCTTAACATGAAAAATTGCGACAAAGAACGTATGTTTTATTACATCCATTCACTTTATCATGTGAACCTTTATGGCAAATAATGCTGCTCACGACATCTGTGGCTAACATGTCTACAAATGGGTGATTTAATTTATCTCAACCACAAGTCTTTATGCTGATTTTTATAATTTCATGCTGTGCTATGATGCAAAGACCCCCTCCTATCTTGTTTTAAGTATGTAGAATCTAGTAGCTTACTATGTAGTACTAACTAGAACATGTAGCTTACTATATAGTATTAACTAGAGCATGAAGGTCTTTAAATTTAAATGTCTCCACACACACTTATATTTAAACTGCAAACATCCAATTGAACTATATATAAAAGCCACAGTTTGAAAAAATTAAATTAGGACCATTCTTCCGGGGAAACACATGCAACCACAAACAAAAGAACAGGCTAACTTCTTTTAATCGTTTATTTTATGAAAATTCAATGACACTTTTGCACCACTGTTTTCCACCAGCTTGGCAACTGTCTAATTCACTGGAAACGTGGAACAACCAACTAGAAGAATATTTGATGCAACTTTTACATACAGGTAGGCTGAAACAAAATTATAGAGGGAAGGACAATGAGATTTGAATGCAATATAAAAGAAACACAATGTATTTAAAGAAGAAATTGTTTTAAAATAGAATTGAAGCTAGTAGTTAACATAGACTCACCAAAATTGTGGTAGATTATAACACTTGTGTAAGTTTTCAATGAAGACAGAACTGTGCCACTGTTTCACACACTGCCATTTATACATGACTGGAGGATGTTCCACTATTCACATGGGAAAACTTTGGGTCAGTGATGGCTGAAACAAAAATTCAAGACACACAATCTGAATGTAAACAAAACACAAAATAGTGGATTTTTGGTACCTGGTGATCTCCATGGCTCCTGAAATAAAAAGATTAAAATTAGTAGCAAGTGCAAAAATAAAATACAAAGACATACTTTTTTAAACATAGCCCACATGTCAGATAATTTAAAATGCTATTTCCGACATACCTGTCTTGAAAACAATTGTTTCCCTTGGCGAAGCAAAGTTTCTTCCCTTGTCTCCATCTTTACCTCTAAACACAATGCTTAACTATCTCCTGTAGTTGTTCTGACCAGTTTAACCTATTGAATAGGAACAAAAGAAGTTTTCTGTTTGTTTATAGAACATAAAAAATTACTCATCAACCCACCTGTGATAAACATCATACATGTGTTATGCACACATCCCATGATCTTTCTGAAAACAGAAAAATAAAATATGGCTTCTGAACAAAAATTTCAAACGCAAAAATAACATAACATGTTAAATTGTAAAATTGTAAAATGACAAATGTACACCAAATATACATACCTATAAGAAAATCATTGCATTGACAGATTGGCAGCCCCACATCAAAGATGGTAGACTATTCAAGGTACATTATCCTATGTCTTTCACATATCCTCACAATAGGCCCATAGGGGCCAGTAGTGCGCATTACATTTCATGTATATGAAGGCAAGTTAAAAAAATGAACAAGAATTTCAGCCAAAAAAGACCCTTGCTAGCTATATGTGAGTTGGACAGCCCAAATTTTAAGCTGTTTAAGTTCTATACATTATATCAAGAAAGGCTATAAAAAAAGATGCAATGGTCAACTTGCCTGTCCAGACAGCTTCGGCTCCTCTTGACTTGATTTGACCTGGCTAGGGAAGAGAAGAAAACATGGAATTATATTAGCTTGATCCCGAACACCACTCGACCGTCTCGAGTGCCCTCCCTGCTCCCCCCTACACAAGGCATCGCTACCAGGTGCATTGGATCATTACAGTTTGGGAAAGTGTCGGTCTCCGAACACAAGTCGAACCACTTCCTCCCCACCTTCAGGCAGCGCTACCATCGGGAAGGGACTGGTAGCCCCGTCTGTGTGGAGAACAAGCTGCTAGAAAACAAAAAATGAAATGGAATTAGTTAACAATGACAGGCTGTGCTAGAAATAGAAATGGAATTAGTTGACAATAACAAGCTGCATGGGAAAAAAAAGAAATGGAATTGATTAGTTAACAATGCCCAGACACCGCTCGCATTATGAGGCCCCCGCTGCTCCCCCTACCCACGGCAGCACTACCGAGTGTAAGGTTTCACAGCGTGGGAATGTGCTGGGATTCTCCATTACAAGTCGAACCACTTCATCCCCCTCATCGGGCAGTGCTACCCTCAGAGGAGGAATGGTAGCCCTGTTAGTGCCGGAGACCTAAATACCTGGGAGAAAAGGGAGAGAATTTTATTAGTAACATCAACAGCTAACTTAACCATCCACCTAACATCAACAGCTAACTTGCTCCTGTAGACTGGCTCCTGTAGACTTGCTCCTGTATGCAGCCTCCTGTATGCAGCCTCCTGTATGCAGCCTCCTGTAGACTGGATCCTGTAGACTGGCTCCTGAAGACTGGCTCCTGCATGGGCCCACCGGTGTGATACAACCACTACTCGCCCACCCATCAGCCCCCGCCACTGGCTGGCTAGACCAATCTTGCGAACCTCCGAATGGGGTTTCCTGGCCAACACATCGGAGGGGGGACATGCCGCTGACCCATTGGTGATATAACCCATAGTAACTCATGCTTTCGGACCCCCGCCACCGGCTAGCCAGACCGATCTTGGGAGCCTACGGCATGTGCGTTCTAGGCGCACACCTCCGGGGATCCTCGTGAAGATGTGACTCCATCCCAGCCCGGCTGGACCAGTGAGCGCTAATTCCCAGAACTGGTACACAAGAGCAATGCACCGTCAGTATGGGGCTTTTCACGACTACACTCAAGGGGACATCGTCACATGTGCCGAAAACTGTAAAATATAAAATAGAGCAAAAAAAAGTTAGTTAACAATACCTAACAAACAAGTAGGCCTGTCCAACTACATATTGTAGCAAGTGATGCGCTGAATGAACAGCTAGCGACGGCGGTTGGTCCAGATTATGCCTTTACATACCATTGGTCGACCTTGGCTCTAATTTTTTTTATTGTGAACTGAATTCACTCACGTGACAAACACACGACTAAAAAACTACTCCCCCCCCCCCCCCCCCAAAAAAAAAATCAACTCTAACAATAGAAAACCTGTTTCTTGTTTAATTGACTTGTGTTTACCTCCCCACCCCCTCCACATTAACTTTTTTTGGTAGTGTTTTACAGGTGGAAAAATTAACTGCAACCTTTGTGTTAACAAAAAATAATGACGGTATTCATTAACAATCTTCACGGATTGCTGACTACATTACCACCCCTCCCCCTTCTTAACCCTAATTTCTGACAGTAAGTGTAAACCTTTCAATACCACCGCCAATCTAACACACCTGTTTTCTGATGAGCCAATCGTCGGACTTCGGTCGCTAATCTCAATACTCCAAATGATTATATATACACAACTCTACAAACAATTAAAAGGACGCATACGCCAGATAGTTTGAATGATTTAATGGCAGACACAACACAGACAGAGGCGTAGCGAGGGTGAGGGGGGGGGGGGCGGGGGGTGCGGACCGCACCGGGTGACACCATTTAGGGGGGGGGGTGACAGAACACACACACACACACACATGGAGACACAGACAGACACACAGGCAGAAACAGACACCGACACAATCAGACAATAAAATGGGAGAAACCATGTTTTTCAAAAGGGGTGAATAAGAGAAAACATCGACATCGGTGGACAAACCATTACAAAATAAGGGGGTGGCAGGTCAAATCATTGTAATGAAAAGGGATGACAGGACTTAAATATGGCTGTATTGGAAACATACCTCACAGACTAAACTGTTACGTAACTGGCTTGACTGTCAGAACCCGACTACGTAACTTGTGTTCATATTACGTCATTCAAATCCCCAACATATGGCTGTATTAGAAACACAACTCACAAACACATCACAGACTAAGCTGTTACGTAACACTTTCTCCTGTCATAGCCTGGTTACGTAACTTGCGGTCATATTACATCATTCATATCCCCGATGGTTGAGTTAAGTTCATTTGTTCACCATAGAATTATGTACCTAGTTATGTAATAGTGAAAACATCAGTGCGTGTCCGAAAGCGAGGTAATTCAGCGACATCTCAGGTCAAATGTCAGATTGACCCAATAGTCCAGACACAGAGACAAGTTAAAGTTGTGGCGACAAGGTCATCTGGAGGTCAGGTTCCAGTGGTAGAAATGTGCATGAGTGAGAGAAGCAGGCCTTATGATGATATGGTAGAACATTTTTGATGATGTAGTATAATGTTGATGTGGATGTGATTCAATGATTATTATGATATGATTAATAGATTATGATTATGTGGGGAATTGCTGATGGGGGTGTGGTACAATTATTATCATGATGTGCTACAATGCTTTTGATGATGTGCTAAAATTCTTATGATGATGTGGTACCATGTCTATAATGATGTGGTACAATACGGGTGTGGATGTGGTAGAGGACTATATGTGATGTGGTTCAGAGCTAATAAGCAGTGGTTACAAAACTTTACATTAAATGTTCTAAGGCAGTTCATAATTTATTATAGTGTGATATAATAATTAGAGGCATTCAATTTTTTCACATTACAAATCTGTCACGTTACAAATCTGTCACGTTACAACTATGTCACGTTACAACTATGTCACGTTACAACTCTCACATGTTACAACTTGGTCACGTTACAACTATGTCACTTTCAGTGCCGGCGCCAGGTTATTTAGCGCGCTAGGCAAACTTATTAAAACGCCCCCCCCCCCCCCCCCATTTTAATTCTGGTAAGGATCGTGTGGTGCCAACAATTTATTTGATTGAAAATCTGAATCTCTCCTTGGCTAACGAGATTTTTAATTCAAAGTGAGAGAAAATCTAAATTGCACAGGCGCCAATCCAAAGGGGCGCTTAACGCGGTAGATAATAATATAAAAAGCTCATTACTGAATTATATATAGTCGAAATAAAGAATGTTGACTGCTACTTGGCATTATTTAATTTTTTTCTACATCAATTGCTTGACAACAAATTAAAAGGCAAACTGACAGGTAAAAAGCGCCCTCACATTTAGCAGTGAGGGAGGTGGGGGGCGCATTTTTACCGACGCTAATAACTTTATATAGGCTTAATTTGAAGATGGGCGCAGAATTGATAGCTCGTCCCGGGCTCTGAAATAGATCGCCACACCTTTGTATATTATCCTAAAGTTTAAAGTTTATATAATGTAATCAATGTTATTCATTATTGGGTTTGTATATTACCCTAATCTTTAAAGTTTATATAATGTAATCAATGTTATTCATTATTGGGTACTTTTTACTATTGGAGATTACACATTTTTGCGCCGCCTATGGATAGCGCCCTAGGCGATCGCCTAGTTCGCCTTATAGGCAGCCCCGGCCAAGGTCACGTTACAACTATGCCATGTTACAATTCTGTCACGTTACAACTCTGTCACGTTACAACAATGTCACATTACAACTATGTCATGTTACAACTATGTCATGTTACAACTCTGTCACGTTACAACTATGTCACGTTACAACTATGTCACGTTACAACTATGTCACGTTACAACTATGTCACGTTACAACTATGTCATGTTACAACTATGTCATGTTACAACTATGTCACGTTACAACTATGTCACGTTACAACTATGTCACGTTACAACTATGTCACGTTACAACTATGTCATGTTACAACTATGTCACGTTACAACTATGTCACGTTACAACTATGTCACGTTACAACTATGTCACGTTACAACTCTGTCACGTTACAACTATGTCACGTTACAACTATGTCATGTTACAACTATGTCATGTTACAACTCTGTCACGTTACAACTATGTCATGTTACAACTATGTCATGTTACAACTCTGTCATGTTACAACTCTGTCACGTTACAACTATGTCATGTTACAACTATGTCATGTTACAACTATGTCATGTTACAACTATGTCATGTTACAACTCTGTCATGTTACAACTCTGTCACGTTACAATTATGTCATGTTACAACTCGGTCATGTTACAACTATGTCACGTTACAACTCTGTCATGTTAAAATTCCTTCACGTTACAACTATGTCACGTTACAAATATGTCACGTTACCACTATGCTATATTACAACTATGCCATGTTACAACTCTCCCATGTTACAACTCTGTCACACAACAACTTTCTATAACAGGTGCATGTGTGTTGATCAGCGTAAATATCTTAACGGACTATCTTTAGGTCACCTTAGAATCTTGTGTCATCAGAATAATGATCCATCTCAAGGTCGTGTTGCTGTGACTTGGGGCAAGTAATTTGGGAAGAGTCTATTATCGGACAAAGGTAGGACGTTTATTTGAAGAGTTGTCAAACCATTGTCATGAAAAGGGATGACAGGTCTAAAATATGGCAGTTTTGGAAACACAACTCACAGATTAAGCTGTTACGTAACTGGTTTGACTGTCATGACCCGCTTACGTAACTTGTGGTCATATTACATCATTCAAACCCCCAACACATGGCAGTATTAGAAACACAACTCACAAACACATCACAACCTAATCTGTTACGTAACACTTTCGCCTGTCATAGTCTGGTTACGTAACTTGCTGTCATCATTCAAATCACCGATGGTTGAGTTAAGTTCAAACGTTCACCCCATAATTATCTACTTAGTTGCGTAATAGTGAAATCCAAAATCGAGGTTAAATTCAGAGACATCTCAGGTCAAATGTCAGATTGACCCAATAGTCCAGGCACAATGTCATGTTGAGGTTGTGTCGACAAGGTCATTTGAAGGTCAAGTACTAGTGAAAGAACTGTGCTTAAGGTCACATGATGATGTGATACAACACATATGGTGATGTGGTACAATGAATATGATGATGTGGTGCATAAATATAATCTGTAGGTCGTGTCACTGATGTCGGATACAGGGCTCTATGTGATGTGGTACACGGCTCTATGTAATACAGGGATGTATATGATGTGGTATAGAGCTGTATGTGGTACAGGGCTGTATGTGATGTGGTACAATGAATATGATAATGTGGTGCATAAATATAATCTGTAGGTCGTGTCACTGATAGGGCCATACATGTCGGATACAGGGCTGTATGTGATGTGGTACAGGGCTGTATGTGGTACAGGGCTGTATGTGATGTTTTACAGGGCTGTATGTGATGTGGTACAGGTTTGTGTGTGATGTGGTACACGGCTGTATATGATGTGGTACACGGCTGTAAGTGATGTGGTACAGGGCTGTATGTGATGTGGTACAGGGCTGTATGTGAAGTATTCAGGGCTGAATATGATGTAGCAGGACTTTTATGATGTGGTGCAGGGCTGTATGTGATGTTGTTCAGGGCTGTATATGATGTGGTATAGGGCCGTATATGGTACAGGGCCATATGTGATGTGGTAGATGGCTGTAATTGGCACAGGACTGTATGGTATGGTACATGGATCAATATGATTTGGTACGGGTTCAATATGATGTGGTGTGTGATGTGGTACAGGGCTGTATATTATGTGGTACAGGACTGTATGCGATGTGCTACAGAGCTGTATATGATGTGGCACAGGGTTGTATATGATATGTATATGGTACAGGGGTGTGTGTACAGAATTCGACACTACCAACGGTGACACTGAAAATATTTCTTTAAAACACTATAATTAGCTCGTTAAGGACGATAACCCCCCCCCTCCTCCCACCCCCCTCCGTTTAAGCAAACTCCACTTAGTTCCCCCCCCCCCCCCCCACACCACCACTACGTTTAAAATCGTTTCAAACTAAATTATCTGGCCCTAATAGTCGTCACTAAACCCGGCTCTGTTTGTAAACATTTAGAGTGAACCACCGCTCACCAAACCATGTAGGGGTGGGGGTGGTAGGGAGCGCGGTTACAGCTTGTTTTCTAGCGTCTCGCAGACGAGAATTATATATAAAGATAGAAGATTTGTACTAAACAAATTAAAAAGCAATTACTTCTCTTAATTATTTTTTTAAATACATACTAAAGAGTGACATAGCATAAAAAGGAAATATGTTTAAAACAAATAATACAAATACAAAAAAAACATAAAAATAAACATAACACAAGAAACCATTACGCATACAAAGCTATCACGGTTTATTTTCTTTTGACCGGCATTAACTTGAGAGTAGGCAGTATTACAGCAAACATATTGAATAATCTAGTTCTAAATCTAAAAAGAAATCTACAACAGACTAATGCACTCACGCATGACATGTTGTGATTTGTTTAAATTGAAAAAAAACATTTTTTTTCTAAACCCGATCAGGCCAAAAATGACTATCCAGTGTTTGTATTCTGTGTTTATATATATATATATATATATATATATATATATATATATATATATATATATATATTTATATATTTATATATATATATATATATATATATATAGGAGGGGGCCCAGAATTTATTTTTTTGCGGGGTGGCCCTTTTTTTCTAGTTCCGCCACTGATCCAACGACATCATGTCAACACCCAATGTTTTTTCTACCGTTCACCCCAGAATTATGTTTAAATGCTGAGAGCTCACTAGATTGTACAGGGTGGTGGGGCTCGATGACATCTCGTGGTCCAATGTCCCGGTCCCAATAGACATCGATGACAAAAGAAGGGTGGAAATTCCCTTTAACTTAGTGTATCAGACACCGATGACTTTGCACTTATTATAGTAGGGTCCATACGCTCAGAGGCGTCGGTAGGCGGGGGCAGGGGGGGGGGGTGCGGACCGCACAGGGTGACACCATTTAGGGGGAGGGGTCACACAAAGACCAAGAAAAATGCAAAATATATATTTTAAACTGTACTTTTATCAGTTTCTTGAATGATTAATTACAGTATTTTCAATCGATGACCGCGGTGGGATGACACTATATATAATAATTTAATAATATATTAAGTTACTATGTAAAGCATGCTTTTTTCCATTTGAATTAATAGGTGGATTAAAATAATGTGTGTGGAAAATTGGAGTGGGGGTGACACCAATTACAACTATATATATAGGCCTATATGGGCATTTATATATATATATATATATATATATATATATATATATATATATATATATATATATATATATATATATATATATATATATTTATATATATATATATTTATATATATATATATAGCCTACACCATTTACCTTTGGGGGGGGGATGACACCAAGTGGTGTCGCAACGGATGACACCCGACATAGCGACGCCACTGCATACGCTACATTTTTAAATAATTAAAGTGGGAAAGTTAACTATTTGATATGTTGTCTTTTCGAAAAAAAATCAATGAACTCCAAAATATACAAAGTAATTCTTTTTACTACGAAATGGTCTAAATACTTTTAATTCATATAAATATCTGTAATTTAAAACAAATAGCGTGTACGAATTCAAATCTGCTTACGTCATTCCTTCCAGCTTAGAACGACCTCCTCTAACAAAAAGTATGGCTTATCTCCAACTTTAGGCGAAATTTTTCCCTTTGACAAGTTCGTTAACTCAGACAAAATCTCCCCCAAGAAGAGAACAATGTACAAGTTCTCTCCCCTTAACATGAAAAACTGCAACCAAGCACATCAACATCCTTTATCATGTGAACCTTTATAGAAACAATGCTGCTCACGGCCCCTGTGGCTAACATGTCTACACATGGTTGATTTAATTTATATCTGAACCGTAAGTCTTTATGCTGATTTTTATAATTCCATGCTGGGCTATGATGTAAAGACCCCCTCTCCCCTTCCCCCCTTGTTTTAAGTATGTAGAATCTAGTAGCTTACTATATAGTAATAACTAGAGCATGTAGCTTACTATAAAGTATTGACTAGAGCATAAAGGTTTTTAAATTTAAATCTCCACACACAATTATATTTTAACTGCAAACATACAATGGAACTAAATATAAAAGCCACAGTTAGTAACAATAAAATTTACTTTAAAACCCATTTAAAGCAATTCAGTTTTTAAAAAGTTAAATTAGGACCATTCTTCCTGGGGAACACATGCAACCACAAACAAAAGAACAGGTTAACTTCTTTTAATCTTTTTATTTTATGATCATTCAATGACACTTTTTTCATCTCTGTTTTCCATTTAGCTTGGCAACTGTCTAATTCACTGGAAACTTGGAACAACCAACTAGAAGAGATATTTGACACAACTTTTACATACAGGTAGGCTGAAACAAAATTATAGAGGGAAGGACAATGAGATTTAAAAGCAATTTAAAAGAAAACAACAATGTATTTAAAGAAGAAATTGTTTAAAAAAGGAATGGAATCTAGCAGTTAACATTGACTCACCAAAATTGTGGTACATTAGAACACTTGTGTAAGTTTTCAATGAAGAAAGAACTGTGCCACTGTTTCACGCACTGCCATTTATACATGACTGGAGGATGTTCCACTATTTCCTGGAAAACGTTTGTGTCAGGGATGGCTGAAACAAAAATTCAAGACACACAATCTGAATGTAAACAAAACACAAAATAGTGGATTTTTGGTACCTGGTGATCTCAATGGCTCCTGGAATAAAAAGATTAAAATTAGTAGCAAGTGCAAAAATAAAATACAAAGTTATACTTTTTTAAACATAGCCCACATGGCAGATAATTTAAAATGCTATTTCCAACATACCTGTCTTGAAAACAATTGTTTCCCTTGGAGAAGCAAAGTTTCTTCCCTTGTCTCCATCTTTACCTCTAAACACAATGCTTAACTATCTCCTGTAGTTACGTGTTCTGACCAGTTTGACCTATTAAATAGGAACAAAAGGAGTTTTTTGTTTGTTTATAGAACATAAAAAATTACTCATCAACCCACCTGTGATAAACATGCATGTGTTGTGCACACATCCCGTGATCTTACTGAAAAAAGAAAAATAAAAGCATTATGGCTTTTGAACAAAAATTTCAAATGCAAAAATTACATAACATTTTAAAACGACATTCCAAAATTTACAATACATAGATTATGGTCATGCTACCTGTCTAAAACAAGCATCTGTGAACAAAAGAGAGTAGTAAATGAAATGCTTAAAACATACCTGTACAAAAATTAAGTATACAAAGTCTAAGAAAGAAACCAAGAAAACATGAACATGCCCCAAATACCAAGCTGTGTTGTCGCCTGTAGATGTGCTCTGACCACAGCATCACTTACAAAACATTCCTCTACAAAACCAGGTGTGTCTGTGTGCTGGGTTTCCTTTAATGCACCTTTAAAGTTTTAAATCAGAAATTATAAAATGCAAGTTTAAAATTAACATTAAACTTTACTTGCATGGAGATTCCTGTACGGGTATGTGAACGCACATATTCAAGCAATGTTGCATACTTTTCTGGTCATCTAACTTTGACAACGGATAAGCAATTGGGCTACAGCTGGGGAGATTTTGAAAATGAAAATTAACAGAAATAATACATAGTAGACACATTTGAAGATCTCGAGAAGGAAATTGGAAAATTATTAAATGAAAAAGGTACAAAAATGTACAAAACACAACATACATACCTAGAAGAAATTCTAGGCAGCCCCACATCAAGGAGCATTATCCTTTATCTTTCGTCTTAGTATTGGCCCATATGATGAAAATACGCACTACTGGTCCATATTTCATGTTTATGAAGGCAAGTTTAAAAAATGAATAAAAATCCTCGCTAGCTGCATGTGGGTTGGACAGCTCATATTTTAGTTGTAAAATTAAGCTAATTATTGCTCTATACATTATATAAAAAGGCTATAAAAATAAGATGCTATGGTCAACTTACCTCATCGAACCTTACGGTCCCATGGAAAAATGCAGTAGCGTCCTTCTTGTTGGTGGGCAGCACTCAGCCCCCTGGCTCCTGCATGGCCCCACCGGTGTGATACAACCACTACTCACCCACCCATCAGCCCCCGCCACTGGCTGGCTAGACCAATCTTGCGAACCTCCGAATGGGGTTTCCTGGCCAACACATCGGAGGGGAGTCATGCTGCACCCATTGGTGATATAACCCATAGTAACTATGCTTTCGACCCCCGCCACCGGCTAGCCAGACCGATCTTGCGAGCCTACGGCATGAGCTTTCTAAGCCAACACCTCTGGGGCTCTTCGTGAAGATGTGACTCCATCCCAGCCCGGCTGGACCAGTGAGCGCTAATTCCCAGAACTGGCACACAAGAGCAATGCGCCGTCAGTATGGGGCTTTTCACGCCTACACTCAAGGGGATTTCGACACGTATGTCGCAAACTGTAAATAAAAAAAAATAGAGCAAAAAAAAGTTAATACCTAACAAGTATAGAAATACATCAATACATTATAAATACATCAATACTTGACATAAATACATCAATACATTAGCTTAAATTCAAACACCGCTCAATACACTTGAGGCCCTCACTGCTTCCCCCTACCCACGGCAGCACTACCGAGTGTAAGGTTTCACAGCTTGGGATTGTGCTGGGAATCTCCATTACAAGTCGAACCACTTCATCCCCCCCCCCATTGGGCAGTGCTACCCTCCGATGAGGAATGGTAGCTGTTAGTGCCGGAGACCTAACTACAAGCACCTGGAAGAAATGGAAGAGAAAAAACATGGAAATATACTAATACATGTTTATTACATCAAATAAATTAAATCAAAATCTAACTTAACTTGCTTCTGTAGACTGGCTCCAAGAGACTAGCCCCAAGAGACTAGCCCCAAGAGACTAGTCCCTGGCTCCTGCATGGGCCCACCGGTGCGATCTAACCATTACTCGCCCACCCATCAGCCCCCGCCACTGGCTGGCTAGACCAATCTTGCGAACCTCCGAATGGGGTTTCCTGGCCAACACATCGTGGGGGGACATGCTCCCGACCCATCGGTGATATAACCCCTACTAACTCATACTTTCGACCACCGCCACCGGCTAGCCAGACCAATCTTGCGAGCCTACGGCATGAGCTTTCTAGGCCAACACCTCTGGGGTTCTTCATCAATTCGTGACTTCATCCCAGCCCGGTTGGACTAGTGCTCGCTACTTCCCAGAACTGGCACACCCTGAGCAGTGCACCGTCAGTATGGGGCTTTTCGCAACTACACTCTAGGGGATCCGTCGTCACGTTTGCCGTGATACCGGCCCCGTTGCTTGGCTACTGGTTTCTGTAGACTCCCTGCTGCATGACCCCGTCCGTGCAGCCAATAATCTCCCACCATCAGCCCCTCCACTGTTCGACAGGCAGTTTTGGGAACCTCCGAATGGGATTTCTCGGCCACACTACGTGTAGCAGCCACTAATCCCCCAAGCTTTGGCTCCCTGCACTGTTGGACAAACAGCCGCGAGCCGCCGACATGGGCTTTCATGACCATTACACTCAGGGGTTACCTGTGATAGCTAGAAGTAAAAGTGTACAAATTAATTAGTTAACACCGCCTAACAAACAAGTACAGAGCTGTCCAACCAAATGCTTTAGCAAGTATAAACGATGAACTCTTGAAACAAGCAGGCGTAGTTAACAGCTATCATGTGTGAAACGCAATAATCCTATCTAAACTCCAGGAACCAAATGAATAACAAGAGCTGGCCAGTGTAACGCGTTTCACATGCCATTTAGCCGTGACATCGTTGTGAACTGTTTTCATGTGTTTATCACACCATAACACCCCCGCCACACACACACACACGCACACATGTCATTTTCTTCCAGTCACTACTCCCCTTTCAAACCACATCGACACACAAAGCGTTTATCTTAATCACGGTGACATTGAAGGGACAGTAACTACTGTAGTGTTGGACTACTAGCTCAAGCTTCAACCTATCAGCCTATTACTATTCGTGGTAGACAATAAGACACACCGTCCGTTTCCCCCCCCCCCCCCTCCACCACCACCACCCCCTCCACCACCCCCCCACCACCACCACCCCCCCCCCCCCACCCCCAATAAGTGACCTTATTTGTATAGTCAAATGTGCTACGAGAAGTTTCGTAACAGATCAGCCCGGGGTCCTTATGAAATTAAAAGACTTTAGATCCTTACTCAGTGGCGTAGCGAGGGGATGGGGGGGGGGGGATGCGCGGACCGCACCGGGTGACAAAATTTAGGGGGTGACACCAAGGCAAAAAAATAGCAAAATATATCCAGGAAAAATTATCATTCAAGTTAAATAAATTGAGCTAAACAGACTTCTAAGAGCTAAGTTGACATTAACTAAACGTTGCAAAATTTGTCTGATGAAAAAATGTTGAGAATTGTAAAAACCTTTATATCAATCGTGTACGATCACAAGCCGCTATTTTGTTGTATTATTTTACACTTTTCAGTAAATTATATTTTTTGAATTCGACACTCCCCCCCCCCCATATACTGTCATATACTGTGTTAACGTGTAGTAGGGCTGTCATATAATGTGTTAACATTTGTTAGTGCTGTCATGTAACGTACTTTACCTGTTATGACTTTTTTATACTGTTTTAACATGTGTTAGTGTTATTATAAAATGTGATTTAACATATGTTAGGGCTGTCATCTATGTGTTATGGCTGTCATATATTGTGTTAACATATGTTAGGACTGTCTTGTAATGTGTTAAAATAAGTTAACATGTTTTAAGGCTGTCATTATCGTGTGTTAACATATGTTAGGGCTGTAAAATACTGTGTTAACATGTGTTAGGACTGTCAGAAATAGTGTTAACGTGTGATAAGGCTGTCATACCATGTGTTAACATGTATAAAGACTGTTATATAATGTCTAAACATGTGTTAGGGCCGTCACTCATACTCACACTCACACTCGCACTCACACTCACACTCACACTCACACTCACACTCACACTCACACCCACACTCTCACTCACACTCTCACGTCATAATTTAAATAGGGTGCAAATGTATGTGTGAGTATGAGTGTATATTAGTGTTGGTGTTTGTGTTTGTGTGAGGATGAGTGTAAGTGTGATTGAGAATGTAGGTTTGAGTTCGTTAGTCTGAGTTTTAGAGTAAACGTAAGCGTAAGTGTAAGTGTAAGTGTGAGTGCGAGTGCGAGTGCGAGTGCGAGTGCGAGTGCGAGTGCGACTGCGAGACGAGTGCGAGTGCTAGTGCTAGTGCTAGTGCTAGTGCTAGTGCTAGTGTTTCGTTTAATGTAGACAACCTTTTTTATACGCTAATCCGCTATTGAATGTCAAATTAATATTATTTAATTATTTCATTTACACTGTTGAGGCTTTAGCTATCCCAACATGAACGGATAAAAGATTATTTTTCCTTTTTTTCTAATAGGATTACGTGTACTTTTGTTAAAGTAATACAAGGTCAAGTAATGGTTTTGATTTTATGTCAGGTTTTGAAAACTTCTCATCGAGATCAAAACTGCAGAGAACTTGGGTCAAAACGTATGTATTTAATCCTAGAAAGTTCACGGCGCTCCGAGATGGCTGTTTTCATGTCATGTCAAGAGTGTGGAGAACTTGGGTCAAATCATATTCATCTAAGCCAAGACAGGTCACCGTGGTCCGAGATTGTTGTTGTTTGTTTTGAAAACTACTCATCTGGGTCAAGACTGTGGTTAACTTGGGTCAAATCCTATTCATTTAAGCCGAGACAGGTTACCGCGTTCCGAGCTTGTTGTTGTCGGTTTCATGTCATGAATTAAAACAACTCACCGGGGTCAAAACTGTGTTAAACTGGGGTCAAATCCTGGCCATTTAAGCTACGATAGGTCAAAGTGGCCGAAGATTGTTACAATTTGTTATCGTGTTCTTACATAATACAATTTCACTTGGAATAAACCGTACCAAAAGAGAACATATGGCTGGTTGTTAACTTGGCACGAATTGTATCAAATGATAGTGTTAGCATAAATGTTTGTTATCGTGTTAGTTTTAGTTTCAGTGCCAGTCTGAGTGCGAGTAAAAGTGCCAGTGTGTTAGTGTTTATGTTAATATTAGTGTCAGTAAATGTCAGAGTTAGTGTTCGTGTAAGCGTTAGTAAGAGCGTTATAATGTTAATGTGAGTGTGAGTGTGAGTGAGAGAGTGAGTGTGTGTGAGTGTGGGTGTGAGTGTGAGCGTGAGTGTGAGTGTGAGTGTGAGTGTGAGTGTGAGTGTGAGTGTGAGTGTGAGTGTGAGTGTGAGTGTAAGTGTGAGTGTGAGTGTGAGTGTAAGTGTGAG